AAGATGTTACATCCAGACAACAGATCCACTAATCCAGTGTCAAGTCATGGAGGCAAAGTATTCATGAGGGTAACCCAGACCTACCTCCTTCCCAGTGACTCTCCAGTTCCTCCATGAGGATCCCAAGGTGTTAACAGGTCAGAGAAGATTTATAAACCTCTGGGTGATGCATGGGTCTTCCACTCCAGGGGGAGGTAGCCAGGAGGCATCTTAGACAAGTTCCTGGACCACCTAACTGGAATCCTCAGTGTGAAGATGAATGTGTTGATACTCACCGATTTCAAGCCAGTTACATTTACTCTATTTCTTCAAACCAATGTTGTTTACGGAGCAATCTACACAAACAGCTCCACAGAAACTGACTTTAAGGTTCAGTTAGAAAGTGGTCAGCATGTTTCCCCATGAATAAATTAGCATCACAACATTTCTGTATCCAGTCAAACTTAAAATGTCTATGACTTGCAAAGAGATGGAGATGTACGTTGATTACAGCTGAGGAAGAGTTTCAAATGGAGAGGATTTTGAATTGAAGGTGTAGTGTGAGACGTTCAACTTGTGACTTCATTGTCCTCCACCCTCCAGTCACTCTTCCTCTAGGTTAGATGCGCCCTCTAGTGGCCAACTCAAAAACACACACCCGCAGAGTGTCTCATCGACCCACACGTGTCAGTGAGGATAACCATCACGACGATCCCGGGGAATTCTGGGAAAACATTCTATGAACTGACAGACAAAAAAGGGAGACATCTTGGTCTGGATTCAAACCAACACAAAAAGATCAGACCTACGGGCTACATAGTGGAGCAGGTAGTGGCACTGTTGCCTTGCAACTAAAAGGTTGCTGGTTTGAATCCCGGCTGCAGTCTTTCTGTGCAGAGTTGGCATGTTCGGCCCAAACATGTGGGTTTTCTCCCAGTGCTCTAATCCCAGAGCAGGAGCATGTTTGAATTTGCATAAAAGCGTAAAATGCACAAACACAAGCCAGACACGGTGGTGGTAGTGTGGTGGTCTGGGGCTGCCATGCTGCTTCAGGACCTGGACCACCTGATGTAAAGGATGGAACCATGAATTCTGCTTTCTAGCAGAATGTCTTGAAGGAGAATGCCTGACCTTTGACTTTTAACAGGATTTTCCTGCTGAAAACCTCCAATGTGGCTGAATTCAGACGAACCTGTCAAGTCTGGAATAAGTCTACTGATGATGAAAAAGAAATAAAGACAGAAAATGTTGACTTTATGATTGCTGAGTCTCTAAAATAAAAAAACCCATACAATTTAACGTGAGTATTAATACATTTATTACATACTAAAAGATATTTTTCACACAACCCGGCGATGCTCCCAGGACAACAACAGCCATACAAAGTTGTTCTCCTACATACATGAGTATCAGTAATACTCTGGCCTTCAGCCTTATGAGGGGACACCAGTACCTTTCCAGGTTGAGACTGCTGGTCATAAACTAAGAAAGTTAGAAACCAGTTAACTGATATAACCAGGGTCAGATTAGCTTTCTAATGTTAGAATTGTTCCACGGGGGACAGATCAATGCATTAGGTTGAGGGCAGGTCGCTTTAGACTATTTTAAAAGGTTTCATTAACAGGAAACCACGTAACACGTGTTTTTGTTTTATAAACTCAAGTTCCACAAGCTCAACGTGAACGTTTTAAGTATCTTTGCCTGCATTTGCTGCAGAAAGGAAAGACGTGGTAAATGATCGGGTCGGAAAGGGCTAGTCTCTTCTACGCCTCGGTGCAAATTAACATTTCATGATGTTTTCCTCTTGGATGAATCACAGTAATGTGATCTGGCCCATCTCTGCCTGGATGTGTATGATATTTTATTAAGTTGCTCTCCAGAGGAAATACTTCCATATTGTTTACAGAGAACACAGCAAACGTTTAGTTTTTTTAAAAAGTAAATTATTTCATTAGTTAAAATTTTAGAATAGTCTCCATCAGCAGCGCTGCATTAGATCAAAGACCTTCAAAGGGGACCTAGAATGCAGTTAATCAGCAATCTAAAACTGATCTCTGAGCCTCTATGAATTTTGTTGGAGCTTAAAATCTCCCACGAGCCCCGACTAAAACACACATAAGTCCTGTTCTCCCCTCAGACTTCACCAGTGTGTGTGTGTGTGTGTGTGTGTGTGTGCGCGAGTGTGCGCATGCGAGTGAGTGAGTGTGTTGGGGAATTTGAAGAGAGATAAATGAAAGCGGAAACTAAACTGAAGTCAGGGTTTCTCAGTAAGCTCCCACTCAAACCTTACATAACAGATCTTTTAACAAGAAGGCTTTAAAAACAATTAATTTTTGCACTACATATAAATTACCGTATTGACCCGAAGAGGCTGTCTTCTCCTTCACATCTGCAGGGATCTCCTTCTTGTCCTCGTACCCCAAGAAGAAGAGAGAAAACCGCATGGCGGGGAAGTCGAACTTCTGCAGTAGCCTATAAGATTTTACACAGCAAAGAGAAAGTTGTTTACAAAGCCTAGTTAATGTTTAGGTGGAGATCATTTAACCCATAAAACCATGTTAAAACTATAGCTGCATCACTCCATGAAGGAATGATCACAGAGATTTAAACTAAAACTATCTGATGTGATGTTTAGTTCTGTTACCAACACACCAAACTGTAGCGCCTTATCTGTTTAACAGTCTTCCAATTTTATGTTTGTCAAAGTCAAAAAGCAGCTGATTTAGCTAACGGACCAACAGCATGAAAGAACATATTTAAAATCTAAGTTTTAAATGAAGACCTGATGACTTTTTAGCATCTGTGGTGGTGACTCATCTAATACTGTACAAATTTAAGCTCAATATCAGTAGAATTGATGAAGTTCCGTCCATTTTTCATCCACTTATCCAGGGTCGGGTCGCAGGGGCAGCAGCCTAAGCAGGGAGGCCCAGACTTCCCTCTCCCCAGCCACTTGGGCCAGCTCCTCCAGGGGAATCCTGAGGTGTTCCCTGGCCAGCTGGGAGACAGTCTCTTCAACATGTCCTGGGTTTTCCTCTAGGTCTCCTCCCAGTTGGATGTGCTCTGAAAACCTCACCAGGGAGGCATCCAGGAGGCATCCTGACCAGTTGCCCGAGCCACCTCAACTTGCTCCTCTCGACATGGAGGAGCAGCGGGTCTCCTCCCGGATGACCGAGCTTCTCACCCTAGGGTGGATTCCACAACAAAACTGTCAATTTATCTCTTGAAATTTGTCATACAGACATGGACAAAATTGTTAGCATCCTTCGGTCGATGAATGAAAAAACTTCAATTGGTCACAGAAATAACTCCAATCCAATAAAAAGTAATAATAAAAAATATTCTATGAAATTTAACCAATGAAATTCAGAAAATAATTTTCAACCATGCTTCAATGGAGTTATAAAAAGATAAAAAACCCTAATCATGGAACAGGCCTGGATAAAAATGATGGCACCCCAAACTAATTCTCAATAAAGCTTCAGTAGCCTTCTAATACATTAAGTATTTATGTTAGAGCAGTTCAACGCAAATATGTACTGTATTTAAACTTGAACATAATATTAGCAAATTATATTTTCTGCTACCCGTATGCTACAAGCTTACTAATTTAAAAGACATAATGTGGTATAATTGTTATGCAATGAAGAAATGAAAAATTAAACTCTATGAAGATTAACTGCTTTTCCACATTTGACACACACACACACACACACACACATACACACACACACACACACACACACACACTGTAATCTTTCCAGTTCCTATTTTAAAGCGGGTTAAATCTTTCTTCAGAGGCCAACAACAAAAATAAAAAACAGTAATTCTCTTAAATGAAAATATAAAATCTCACCTATTAACTTTCATGCTTTGGAGCAGAAAAAGTGCATAAAACCCACAATATTTCAAGCTCAGTTTGCTCCACTCTGATTTACTGTGATGCTCACCTGTTCAAACCAGACACCTGCATCTCTGGGGTTGGGAGGAGGGTCCTTCAAGACTGTTGGAAACCCATTTCAGGTGACTGCCTCTAGAAACTCATCAAGAGAATGCCAAGAGCGTGCAAAGCAGTAATCAGAGCAAAGGGTGACTTTTCTGAAGAAAATGGAAAATAAAACACATTTTCAGTTATTTCACCTTTAAACTCCACATCATAGGTTTGATGCCTTCAGTGAGAATCTCCCAATGTAAACGGTCAAGATAATAAAGACAGCACATTGAATAAGAAGGCATGTCCAAACCTTTGGCTTGTACTGAATAAAACAAAGTTTACAAAATAAATATTTGTATTTTTCATTTAACAGATAAAAGAGAAGCAGCAATTCCAGCCAATCTGACATTAATCAGATGTATTTGTTAAATAAGCAGCAATAACATATATTTTTTTCTTATTCTGTCAGTATAATAATGACAGTAACAGATGTTTTGAGAGACAGTTCGACTTGTTTTTGTTGGCATCGAGCCGCTCTGAACATAAACCAGCCACCAGTATGGTACCGTTTCCTCGTGTAAAACTGGGTTTCTCATCTTGGGTTCTGAGGTTCTGATCGGAATCTTTGATCCAGTTGACTTCCTGATCACCGGTTCCTCTGTGTTTCTGGTCCTGTTTTAACATCAGGTCGTGTCCTCTGCAGGAGCAGCAGGGGGCTGTGTCCATTTCTGACGTTTAACTACGTAGAACCCAATCAGAACCACAGAAACCACCAAAGTCACAGCGACCACGACCCAGATTCAGAGCAAAACGCCTTCCGGCACCGTGGAGACATTCAGTGTTCCGTTCTTAGAAACCTGTTCGGCTACTGGAGTCATGCTGGAGTCGTGTTTGAGGTCAGGGCTGGAGTGGGACTTATTTTCAGCTCTGGAGTTTCAGGGTTCAGACCGGTGTTCTCCGTCTGAGAGGAGGGCCAAGATGGCAGCGTGACGAGGCGGATTCTTACGAGCTCTCAACACTAGATGATAATAAGTCATATCTTCAGTGCCTTTTTGACGTTTATCCTGCTTCCAAGCTTCTTTGAAGATTAGTGTGGTTTGTGTTCAAGGCACTATAAGGAACAAGAACATGTCAAAATCTGTTCAGGAGAGGTTACGCACCTCGAGCTAACAACTAGTGGCTAGCGTGCTAGCTAGCAACCAAACTATCTGAAAACAAAAACGGACAAACAGCAGATGGCAGAGGACTTTCTTCCACTACCAATAACACCATCCAAACCTAGCCTACCCTAACCCTACCTACTACATCACTAAAGTCAGTCGATTGCAAGTTTTTAGGAACCATGACTTGATCTGGACTGGGGCAACCTACATAAACCCTAAATAAATGCATGAGAGGATTTCTGAAGAACAAAGCTCATTTTCCTCTGAACACAAGTTATGGAAGTGCTTGTCCATCGTTTGTGTTAGAGGCGCCGTTCCCTCTCGGCTGCCTGATTGCAGGGGCGGGCCCCTCCCAAGCCCTGGCCGGGGGCTCACTGCCCTGAAGCTCCACCCCTGACGTGAAGAAGGAAAGTCTGCCTACTTTGTTGACAGTTGAGATTTCGTGAACGGAGCCGAAATTCACATATAAACTTTAAATCACACCAAGAATCTCAAGTCTTCTCAAACCCCAGATGGTATTCTTTGTTTTCCTACAAGATTTACAGACAAAAAATAAAGAAGTAAAATATACGTATGCAAAAAAAGAGGCCATCCTCCTTGAACCGTCACCTTATCGTGGTGGAGGAGTTTGAGTGCCCTAATGATCCTAGGAGCTATGTTGTCTGGGGCACTTAGTGCCCCTGGTAGGGTCTCCCATGACAAATTGGTCTTAGGTGAAGGGTGAGACAAAGAACGGTTCGAAGGATCTTTCATGGCGGTTAAAACGAAGAGTCGGAGTACCCGGCCCGGAGGGTTACCGGGGTCCCACCCTGGAGCCAGGCCTGGGGTTGGGGCCCGTGAGCGAGCGCCTGGTGGCCGGGCTTTCGCCCATGGGGCCCGGCCGGGCCCAGCCCGAACCGGATACATGGGCTCGTCCAACTGTGGACCCACCACCCGCAGGAGGAACATGAAGGGTCCGGTGCAATGCGAATCGGGTGGCAGACCAAGGCGGGAGCCTTGGCGGTCCAATCCCCGGACAAGAAAACTAGTTTTTGGGACATGGAACGTCACCTCGCTGGCGGGGAAGGAGCCGGAGCTTGTGGCAGAGGTTGAGCGGTACCGGCTAGATATAGTCGGACTCACCTCGACACATTGCATTGGCTCTGGAACCCGAGACCTGGAGAGGGGTTGGACACTCTACTTTGCTGGAGTTGCTCCGGATGAGAGGCGGAGGGCTGGGGTTGGCTTTTTGTTAGCCCCGAGACTCTCTGCCTGTGTGTTGGGGTTTACACCGGGGGACAAGAGGGTAGCTTCCTTGCGCCTTCGGGTCGGGGAACGGGTCCTGACTGTTGTTTGTGCTTATGGGCCAAATATCAGTTCAGAGTACCCACCCTTTTTGGAGTCCCTGGGACGAGTGCTAGATAGTGCTCCATCAGGGGACTCCATTGTCCTGCTGGGGGACTTCAATGCTCACGTGGGCAATGACAGCTTGACCTGGAGGGGTGTGATTGGGAGGAATGGCCCACCTAATCTGAACTCGAGCGGTGTTTTGTTATTGGACTTCTGTGCAAGCCGCAGTTTGGCCATAACGAACACCATGTTCGAACATAAGGATGCCCACCGGTACACTTGGTACCAGGGCAGCCTAGGTCACAGGTCGATGATAGATTTTGTAGTCGTATCATCTGACCTGCGGCCGTATGTTTTGGACACCCGAGTGAAGAGAGGGGCGGAGCTGTCAACTGATCACCACCTGGTGGTGAGTTGGATCAGATGGCAAGGGAACATGCCACGTAGACCTGGCAGACCCAAACGCATAGTGAGGGTCTGCTGGGAACGCCTGGCAGAAGAACCTGTCAAGACGGCCTTCAACTCCCACCTCCGGCAGAGCTTTGACCACGTCCCGAGAGCAGTGGGGGACATTGAGTCCGAGTGGGCCTTGTTCCACTCTGCGATTGTCGAGGCGGCTGTTGCTAGCTGTGGTCGTAAGGTGGCCGGTGCCAGTCGTGGTGGCAACCCCCGTACCCGCTGGTGGACACCAGAGGTTCGGGGAGCCGTCAGGCTGAAGAAGGAGGCCTACAGGGCGTGGCTGGTCTGTGGGTCTCCGGAGGCAGCAGACAGGTACCGGATAGCCAAGCGGGGTGCAGCAGTGGCAGTTGCCGAGGCAAAATCTCGGGCGTGGGAGGAGTTTGGTGAGGCCATGGAGAAAGACTATCGATCGGCTCCAAAGAGGTTCTGGCAAACTGTCCGGCGCCTCAGGAGAGGAAGGCAGCAACTCGCTCACACTGTTTACAGTGGGCATGGGGAGCTGCTGACGTCAACTGAGGCTATAGTCGGACGGTGGAAGGAATACTTTGAGGAGCTCCTCAATCCCACCAATGCGCATTCCGAGGAGGAACCAGAGCTGGGAGGCCTGGGGATGGACTGTCCGATCTCGGGGGCAGAAGTTGCTGAGGTAGTCAAACAACTACACAGCGGCGGAGCCCCGGGGGCGGATGAGGTTCGTCCTGGGTATCTCAAGGCTATGGATGTTGTAGGGCTGTCATGGTTGACACGTCTCTACAACATTGCGTGGTCATCGGGGGCAGTTCCTAGGGAGTGGCAGACCGGGGTGGTGGTCCCCATCTTTAAGAAGGGTGACCTGAGGGTGTGTTCCAACTATAGGGGGATCACACTCCTCAGCCTCCCTGGAAAGGTCTACGCCAAGGTACTGGAGAGGAGGGTCCGATCGATAGTTGAATCTCAGATAGAGGAGGAGCAATGTGGTTTTCGTCCTGGCCGTGGAACTGTGGACCAGCTCTATACCCTTGCAAGGGTGATGGAGGGGGCATGGGAGTTTGCCCAACCAATCCACATGTGCTTTGTGGATTTGGAGAAGGCTTATGACCGTGTCCCCAGGGGCACCCTGTGGGGGACGCTCCAGGAGTATGGGGTGGGTGGCTTTCTGTTAAGGGCCATTCAGTCCCTTTACCAGAGGAGCGTGAGTTTGGTCCGCATAGCCGGTAGTAAGTCGGACCTGTTCCCAGTGAGGGTTGGACTCCGCCAGGGCTGCCCTTTGTCACCGGTTCTGTTCATCACTTTTATGGACAGAATTTCTAGACGCAGCCGTGGTGTGGAGTGTGTCGAGTTTGGTGGCAGGAGAATCTCGTCTCTGCTTTTTGCGGATGATGTGGTCCTCCTAGCTTCATCCAGCTCTGACCTTCAGCTCTTGCTGGGTAGGTTCGCGGCCGAATGTGAAGCGGCTGGGATGAGGATCAGCACCTCCAAATCTGAGACCATGGTTCTCGACCGGAAAAGGGTGGCTTGCCACCTCCGGGTCGGGGGAGAGGTCCTTCCTCAAGTGGAGGAGTTTAAGTATCTCGGGGTCTTGTTCACGAGTGAGGGTAGGAGGGATCGGGAGATCGACAGGCGGATTGGTTCGGCGTCTGCAGTGATGCGGACGCTGAGCCGATCTGTCATGGGGAAGAGGGAGCTGAGCCAGAAAGCCAGGCTCTCGATTTACCGGTCGATCTACGTCCCAATCCTCACCTATGGTCATGAGCTTTGGGTAATGACCGAAAGAACGAGATCGCGGATACAAGCGGCCGAAATGAGTTTCCTCCGTAGGGTGGCCGGGCTCAGCCTTAGAGATAGGGTGAGGAGCTCGGACATTCGGGAGGGACTCGGAGTAGAACCGCTGCTCCTCCGGATCGAAAGGAGCCAGTTGAGGTGGTTTGGGCATCTGGTCAGGATGCCTCCTGGACGCCTCCCCGGGGAGGTGTTTCGGGCATGTCCTGCCGGCAGAAGGCCCCCGGGTCGACCCAGGACACGTTGGAGAGGTTACATCTCCAATCTGGTCCGGGAACGCCTTGGGGTCCTGCCGGAGGAGCTGGTGGACAAGGCCGGGGAGAGGATGGCCTGGAGCTCCCTAATTGGGATGCTGCCCCCGCGACCCGGACCCGGATAAGCGGAGGAAGACGAAGACGAAGAAAAAAAGAGGGAATGGAGAAGGGGAAGAAAGGATGAAGGGTAGTAAAGAAAGGAAGAAAAAACTGAAAGATAGCTAAAGGTTCATTATTGTTGTTTTCTGATACACATTACTGCTAGCTTCACAAATTTATCTCTGTTGTTAACTAAATGTTTATTGTTAGATAGATAAAGATTTGTTTTGAAATACACTCTAGTCAAGGTCGTGGTTCAGTTTATGGTGGTTTGGCGCCATCATGTGGACAGTTAATGACATTGCGGTTATTTTATAATTATTTGTTGCTTTATTTTGCAGTTTACTTGCAAAATCTAAACAATTAAGATGTAAGAAATTTTTTATTGACTGTTTACCTACTTTATAAGTCTTAATGCATGTTTTTTTGTGTTTTTTGTTTAGAAACTAACCTTATATTTGACTCCTAAAACAAATTTATCCTTGCAAAAAAACCACAATTCCAGAAATCATCAACAGTAATAAAACAACCCAGTGTGATTTATCTGGAGAGTGTAGACGACCAAAATGAGACAATTCTGAAGAAATACAAACCATAAATGTGAGACAAAGGCCTCAACAAAAAAAGAAGTCTGCATCCAAAGAGGTACAACAATTATTCATGATTAGACATAAAATAAATTAAAACGTCTGAAGATTTAAGACAATTATGATGCATAGCCTAAATTAGCAAATGCTGCATGCAGAATCGTAGGGAAACAATAAATTGTGATTATCTTTTTTAAAACAGATGAAAAATGACAAAACAGACTAAATATGGGACACAGATGCACGCAGACATGCATAAATCAAAAAAGTTGTCACTAAATGAACCCAACTTAGTTCAAAAGAAGCTGAAAAATTATCAAAATCACACAGAAACAATCGTTAAAGGACCAAAAACGAGCTCAAATTGTGGAGCAATTATGCCTAAAAGCCACACAATACCCAGATGGAGGCTGAGTGAAACGGTGGCCTTGAATTAGAGTCTTTTCAAAAATGTCAGAGGCC